TATTTTTATTCTTTTCTTCTATGATACCATTGCAATACTTTACTAAATAAACTGTGTTATTCACAATCTTTTAGGATGTAAGTCATGTCACATGTGAATGTGTAATTTTAATTATTCTTTTCTTTTATGATACTATTGCAATACTTTACTACACTGTGTTATTGCAATCTTTCAGGATGTAAGTCATGTCACATGTGAATGTATAATTTTATTCTTTTCTTCTATGATACCATTGTGATACTTTACTAAACTGTGTTATTCACAATCTTTCAGGATGTAAGTCATGTCACATGTAAATGTGTAATTTTAATTATTCTTTTCTTCTATGATGCCATTGTGATACTGTGTTATTCACAATCTGCCACCTGTGAATTTGTAATTTTTTATAATTTTTTATGATACATTAATTTATTCAGGATGTAAGTTATGTCACATATGAATGCGTAATTATATTCTTTTCTTCTATGATGATTCATTAAACTGTGTTAGTTATTAATGTCTCAGGATGTAAGTCATGTCACATGTGAATAATTATTGATTTTACTTTTTTGTTCTGTGATACCATATGTGATACTTTATCTTGCAGCTAGTAAGTCATGTCACAAGTAATTATGTAATTTACTTTTTTATCACACCATTGGAAATTGCTAAACCATAACATTCAAATATTTCAGAGAGTACATGTAAGTCATATGTCACATGCGAATATTATGTCTATTTTTTCTTTTATAATATGACTTTCTGAATTCAAAATTTTTCAGAGAGTAAGTCATGCAAGTAATATGTAAATTTCAATTTTTTCTTCTATTATATCACTGTGATACTTACTACAATCATTCAGAGAATGGTAAGTCAAGTCACATGTGAATGTGTAATTTAATTCTTTCCTTCTATGATACCATTGTGATTACTAAACTGTGTTATTCACAATCTTTCAGCTGGTAAGTCACGTCACATGTGAATTTTTAATTTAATTCTTTTCTTCACCTGTGATACTTTACTAAACTGTGTTATTCACAATCTTTCAGCCGGTAAGTCACGTTATGTGTGATTTTGTAGTTTTATTCTTTTTCTATGATATCATTGCCTAAACTGTGTTATTCACAATCTTTCAGAGAGTAAGTCACATCAAATGTGAATGTCTAATTTTATTCTTTTCTTCTGTGATACCATTGCGATATGCTTTACTAAATAAACTGTGTTATTCACAATATTTTAGCTGGTAAGTCACATCACATGTGGATGTGTGATTTTATTCTTTTCTTCTATTATACCATTGTGATACTTTACTAAACTTTTTTATTCACAATCTTTCAGGAAGTAAGTCACATCACATGTGAATGTGTAGTTTTATTCTTTTGTCTATGATACCATTATAATACTTTACTAAACTGTATTATTCACAATTTTTCAGAGAGTAAGTTACATCGCATGTGAATGTATAATTTTATTCTTTTCCTCTATGATACCATTGTAATACTTTACTAACTGTATTATTCACAATTTTTCAGAGAGTAAGTCACATCACATGTGAATGTGTAATTTCATTCTTTTCTTCCATTATACCATTGTGATACTTTACTAAACTGTGTTATTCACAATCTTTCAGAATGTAAGTCATGTCACATGAGAATATGTAATTTTATTCTTTTCTTCAACAATACCATTGTGATACTTTACTAAACTGTATTATTTACAATCTTTTAGCTGGTAAGTCACGTCACATGTGAATGTGTAATTTTATTCTTTTTTCTATGATACCATTGTGATACTTTACTAAACTGTGTTATTCACAATCTTTCAGCTGGTAAGTCACGTCACATGTGAATGTATAATTTTATTCTTTTCCTCTATGATACCATTGTGATACTTTACTAAACTGTGTTATTCACAATCTTTCAGAGAGTAAGTCACATCACATGTGAATGTGTAATTTTATTCTTTTTTTCTATGATACCATTGTGATACTTTACTAAACTGTGTTATTCACAATCTTTCAGCTGGTAAGTCACATCACATGTGAATGTATAATTTTATTCTTTTCTTCTATGATACCATTGTGAAACTTTACTAAACTGTGTTATTCACAATCTTTCAGTCAGTAAGTCACATCACATGTGAATGTGTAATTTTATTCTTTTCTTCTATGATACCATTGTGATACTTTACTAAACTGTGTTATTCGCAATATTTCAGCAAGTAAGTGACATCACACGGGAATGTGTAATTTTATTCTTTTCCTCTATGATACCATTGTGATACTTACTAAACTGTGTTATTTACATTCTTTCAGGAAGTAAGTCACATCACATGTGAATGTGTAATTTTATTCTTTTCCTCTATGATACCATTGTGATACTTACTAAACTGTGTTATTTACATTCTTTCAGGCAGTAAGTCACATCACATGTGAATGTGTAATTTCATTTAATTGTGATTCTTTTTTAGGTAGTGAGTGCATCATGCAATTTGAATAACTAAATATTTATTCCACAAATCCTCACATTATTGCTGTTTTGTAGTATTTAAGTAAGTAAATATTATTAATATTACTATTAATTTAATAGCAAATAAATTTTTCACATTTTAAAGACATTGAGCATGCACAAAATGGCAGAGTTTAATTTTTCACAAAAACTGCTGATTGCCAATACAACACATTTATTGCTAGTATTCACTAATATTTTCATGTTTATATTTACTGTTTAGGTCCATATCAAAGATATCAGAGTGCTCTCAAAGAACAAGGAAGTGCTGATGTAGCATATGCTCGTCTTATGTTACTGGGATCAGCTGGTACTGGCAAGACGTCTCTCAAGCGTTCATTAATGGAAGAACCTTTCAATCCTCATACTACAAGCACCATTGTATCTGATGTATCATCCGTACGACCATTTGGACACAAGTGGCAAACGAGAGGAAACAAATGGAGTGAAGCCACAGAAGAAGATGAAATAAAGGAGCTGGCTCGTTTGTTTAAATCCAGTCTATCTGAATCATCCTCTCATGTTTCATCTGAATCAAGTTTAGTATCTGATTCGCTTGATGTATCTCCTGCAAAAAGTAGTGCCAAACATTCAGATTTAGATGCAAAAATCAAATCATTGCTTAAAAGAGTCCGTACATATCAGACAACAGAATCACATGTACAAGTAAGTCATACATGTGTATACTGTTACATAATATATCAATTTTTAGCCATTTCTTCATATATGGGATTGTGGTGGTCAGCCAGTGTACCTAGAGATTCTCCCAGCCTTCCTCACTCCTCGTACAATGTTTCTCCTCCTCTTTGATGCTTCAAAGGATTTCAAGGAAAAATGGCAGTCACGTCAGAATACTCCTGATGGTGAAGTTCATTTTGGTGAGGTAGTGAATGAAAGCACGAGTGATCTAATGGCCAAATGGATGTCTACAATACATAGTTATCTCGTAAAGCACAGCAAAGTTGGTTCAAGACGCAGCTACTTCATGGTCGAGCACAACATAGATGATACTCCTTCTCCTAGTCTCTATTGTGTTGGCACTCGTGGTGACAAGCTTAATGAAGAAAAAAAGGAAGAAGTTAAGAAGCAAATGCAGCTATTGTACCAGGAAAAAGAGTTCTCTGATCTTGTTCAAGATGTGCTAATCATTGATAATACGACCTCGGGCAAAGGAGAAGAAGAAGATCCAAGCATTACAAAATTGCGTGGAGCAATTGATGGTTTTATCAATAAATTAGTTGTCAAAACCCCTGTCAATTGGGTTCTCTTTCGTAAAGTTCTTCAAGAGCTAAAGCAGAATGTCATTAGTTTATCTGATGCCATTGCCATTGGAGAAGCATGTCATATACCAACACGTGATGTTCCTTTAGTATTGAAATTCTACCATGAGCTAGGAGTTCTGCTTTTCTATCCCAAAATAAAAAGCCTGACAAAAAAAGTCATTCTCAGTCCAAAATGGTTTGTTGATACCGTTGGGAAGGTGTTCCCACTAGAGAAAGGATGGAGCGGAGGAAAAAAGTGGTATTTGTTGCGAAATAAAGGTATTCTAGTTCAACCACTTTATCAAGAAGTATGGCAGTCAAGTGGTATTGATTCAGAAGAAATAATTGAACTTTTAGTTCATTTTCGTCTTGCAGCTCAAGTTCAAACCGAGCTTTACGATAGCACATCCAAGCAATATTTTCTTCCAGCAGTGCTGCCAGGATACACAGGTGATCCTAATGAATCTCAACCTGGTTATAAGCTAAGAGCCTCACCTGTACACATTACATTCTCCACTGGGTATGTACCTCCTGGCTTCTTCACTCGTTTAGCAACTGCCGTTGCTACTGATGCCAATGTTAAGCTCAATTTTGATAAAGATTATGCAGCACCTGACATTCATTCGAAATGTATCTATCGTAATCGTGTTTGCTTTTTTTATGGCCGTCCTTCTGATGATTTCATTCTCACCGATGTTAATACAGCTATTCAAGTTGATGTGTTTCGATATGTACCTGAGAGTAGTCATCCTGTTCCTTTTAAAGCAGTTTGTCAGCAAATATTGGAGCTACTAAATGAATGTTGCCAAAAAGTAGAAGACACCCTTGATATTTACCATGGTTATGACCCTTACATGCTCTTTGGTCTTTATGCTTATCAAAAATCATCAAGAAGAATAAAATACGTGTGTCAATGCAGTCCTTCAAGTGAAGTCCATTATATTCAAGACATTGATGCCGTGAAGCAGACCTGCTCTGATCTTGTTTTTTGTATAATCGAAAGAAGAATTCCTCGCCCCCTAACCATTAATGAGTCGATGTGGTTTAAAGGAAATTTTTCACAAGAAAAACATCAAGAGGTATAAAATAATAATTTTAATATTAAAATTTTTATTGTACCATTCAGATACCACATTTGGAAAAGATTAATGATGATAGTACTAGTAAGTAGCATAATTATAAATTTACATACCAATGTACACCATTAATTACCAAGTATTGTAATGCATCTTATTTACATGTACTTTATATAGAGCCAGCAATTCAAAAGGTCGAATCAACTACAATTCACTCACCCACAGAGATCAGTGAGTCCGGTGATGATCAACAAAAAGGTATAAGCACTACTGTCACTAGTTTTAAACAATAATTTATTTATATGATAGTGATATTGACGATCAGGGATCTTGTAGAGATATTACGAGTGCTAAAAAATGGTCACTTTCAAACTACAAAATGGTTTAATCTTGGTCTCTACTTGGGTCTGTTTCATGATGATTTGAAGATTATTGAGGATAATTATCCACGAGATGCTGAACGATGTCTTAGAGAATGTTTAGCAAAATGGGTCAGAGATGATACTGAAGCAACATGGGACAAATTAGCTATTGCTGTTGGTGAAGTAGGAGATACAACAGTTGCTGATTATATAAGTGAGATTATAATTAATTACTAATAATAATAAACTGATATTAATATAGGATCAACAAAAGAGCTTTAATGGTATGCCAGGATTTCAAATTAATTAAAACTATAATTACATTAGAATAAACTTACAATTATTAGTAGTTGCTTTTTTAGTGTGCAATGCTTAATCTGCTGGGAATATAGTTCTTAAGTAGTTATTATACCATTCTTTATGTAATTAGCTACTTTATTATAGTTGAATTATAATTTAAAATTTGATAAGCATTAAGTAAAATGCTGTTTTATTGTACCATAATGGAGTCAACATTTTGTAAGTCAATTCTACAATTAGGCATTTGTTATTTCTTTCAAGTTGATTCTTGCTTTA